ATCTTCCCATTACAGAAGTGTTTTAAATGACGAAAAATGTTTTGGCTATGTCAAATTTAAAAAAATATACTTTTCAACAAATAACGAAGTTGAACTTTTCATTCCATCTCTTGGTTCCTCTTCTTATATTTGGGAATGTTTTATACTCGTTATGAAAAAATAAATTAGAAAAGATTTGATTCCCGTACGACAAAAACTGACCGGAATATTTCATTCAAAATTTTCAGTTTTTGATGTCATTTTCAACCTGCCTTTAGGGATCGGTTAATTAAGTTAAAATCTTTTGAGGATATAACTTTAAATGAAGTGCAGGAAAAAATGTGTATAATTTAATAGGCAGTACAAGGAAGTCATGAGTCTCCATGTCAGATTTTGAACTGTTAATCCTGATCTGACAAAAATCATTATCAAAATAATGGCTTCTGGAAATCTGGAATTTTGTTTTTTGGGGGGAAGTAGTACTTAATTTATTGGGGAACCCAAGAATTCTTTTGGCATAGGGGCCCTAGAGTTCTAGTTACGCCACTGACAAGAGCTCATAATCTCAGATGCTAATAGGTAGATTCAGACATTTCTATTGCAAAAATGTATAAACTGTATGTCGAACAATGTCATGAAGAGTAAATTGCACATGTGAAGGAAAGTCTTATTACCATCTATTTTCAACAAAATTTAAGTTGCACTGTAAGTAATCTTCAAAGGTATTTGTCAAAGATGTGATTATTTGATAATTAAAAAAAAAAATCATCTGCAACAGATGAAGAAAAATATGCACCTGAAGCTGAACATGGCAAATACTTGTGAAATGCAGAAATTGACTGTAACAGTATGGCTAATGATCAATTAAGAGCTTCAGATGAAATGTACTTATTTAGTTTTGATCTAGAAAAACCATTACTATTTCTGAAACTCTCCACATCAATGAGAGAACTTATCAATGTGAACACATAAGAAACTTATATGTATATAATCTCGGTTGTCATGATATAAAGACAAAAGAGGGCTACAGGTATGTTTGGCCCATAACTCAAGTATCAAAGGGTTCACAAGAAATGTCATCATTTTTAATTAAACACATTAAATTATATGCAGAGGATTTTCTAAAAATTATAATGTATTCAGATTCATTTACAAGACAGAATCTAAATATAAAAACTGTATTAAGTGTACTGAAATTAATTCAGAGTTAAGGCATAAAAGCTCAATCAATTGAGCTTAAATTTTTATCAAATCAGTGCAGTTATTTGCACAGTGATGCTGATTTCGCAGTTATAAAACTCATGCCCCCCCCCAAAAAAAGGAACATTTATAATCCTAGCAAATGATATCACATAACTCAAAATAATAAAAGAAAAAACACTTTCTGCATTGCTGAAATTAATCAAAAAGATTTCCTTTCTACAAAATCATTAAATGATACAAAAAAAACTGTAACAATATATATATATACCGTCTTTTTCTGAAAATAAGACACTGTCTTACTTTCTTTTTTGGTCCAAAATTCGCGCTAGGGCTTATTTTCGGGGAAGGGCAAAAATAAAAGTATATTTATATGTTTTTATTTAATATTTATTTACACAGAATACAGAAATTTAAATTTATTCAATTACAGTCATGTCATCTTCTTCTGGAACATCGTCATAAATAAAATTCTGAATTATATTCTGATTTTCTTCCAAATCCATTTCCTGTTGAATCATTGTTTCGAATCTCTCATGTCTTGTGATATAGCTATCGTTAAATGAATACTTCTTGTTTAAGTAGCCTGTTCGTAGTGCATTGGAAACATCACTATCAGTTATTTTGTCCCATGAATTTTTTACCCATCAATCACCCCTTTTGATTTTCGACTCATTCTGTGGGGGTTGGAAAAAGGTCGCTACGTCGTATGTGTCTCGGGGGTTACGGTTCAGCCCAAATTTCACCCCGACAAGAGTCTGCTGACGCTAACGGATGACGATGCTTTTCCTGTTAACATATCTCTCTTGGGGCAAATGGTAAACTGGTTAAGATAAATTCCAAGAATTAATTTGAAACGAACTGTAGAGGTAAACAATTAATTTCTCGGAATATTTTGTTTCAAACATTTCTCTGAAATACGAGTATTAGGAACGCTAAACATATTATTACTTATATTTAATATATCAACAGCATTTTTTAATGAATTCTTTTTGTCACATTATTTTAACTAGGGATTATTTTCGGGAGATGTCTTATTTTTACAAAAGTTCCGAAAATCACGATAGGGCTTATTTTTCGGAGGATGTCTTATTTTACAAAAAGTTCCGAAAATCACAATAGGGCTTATTTTCGGAGGATGTCTTATTTTCAGAAAAAAACGGTACATATATTGTTACAGATTTTGTATTTATTTAGCTATTTTTAGTAGAATTGTAATTAAAATTGTTCTATTTGCCCTTGTAATGCAGCGCATGATGGGTTTTAAGAGAAAGCTGCATTGAAAAAGTAAAAATACAGGAGCACATGCACTTAAATAGATAACTCACAATTTATATTTAAATTGAAATAATGCAATTGCGTGTTAGCTGTAACTGTAATTCTACTCTTTTGCTTTCCAGAAACTTCGAGAAATTACAACAAGCTTCTCGTGACTGATTAAAAAGCTTACAAAAGCATCTCAGTTCAGTTGCTTACTAAGTTTTTGTTGTTGATTCTAGCAAATTTGTGGTGAGATCAGATTAGCTTTCTCTGTGTTTTGAATTGTGTTCTATTTAATGATTTAGTAGTTTAAAATATAACTCCTGTGTGATATTGTACGAATATCTGTGAGGAAAAATTTCAACATTTTGTTTTATTTCTTGTGATAAGAATATATTTTGTTAACTTTTCTCAAACTTGTACATTCAATCTATTACGAATCCTACACACGCAACAATATATATATCACCAGTTTTATTATATTTATATATATATAATTTTCCTCAAAAATTTGAGAAAAATTATTTAATTATTTTTCATTTTGTTACAAAAATTATAGCATTTTATTTTCAAATAAGTTATATTGTTATTAGTAAATTTATCCCTTTTAGTAACTGCACAGCTGCATCAATATTACAGGGCTGATTTCAGTCTGGATATAACCTGAATTCTGGATCTTTTTACTCTCGGGATTTCCAGATTTGTGAAATGTAGAATGTAATTGGTAAATTTGTAAAATCAAAATCTTGTTTTAGAATATATCATTTAGAGTTTACATAAATTAAAAATTTTGAGACTATATAATGTTCAGTGAGAAATTAAACTGAAGAAATTTGTATCATGCAGAAAAGTTAATTTTGCTCTTGGTTTTGTAGTACCCCCCAAAAAAAACTGATATTGTGATGTTGTAAAATTGTGAACTGAAGGACTGAGACTAAAAGGTGATGGTAAACAGAATTTAAGACTAAAAGAAGACATTAAATGAAAATACTCTATATTGACAAAACTGATTAAATCTGTTTTGACTTGCTTCCATGGATCCATTATTTAAAATTCATTTCATTTCATTGTATGGGTGATGTGTCAGAATGAAGACCATTCTTGACGAGTGATAGTTTAGATGTTACATACACTAAAATGTTCTTTATTAAATGTTCCACTACATTAATTACTAAATGTTAAAATGCTCCACTACATAAATCAGCCTATGAAACTTTTGTGTCAGAAAATCATTCTGATAACTATTGGTAAAGGTTGTACTGGTAATGTACTGCATAAATGGACAGCTCAAAAAGTATTGAAATTCCATAATACATTTTATTCTTTTTTAGCAATTCTATCTTCAGCACCTATTGATGTGTATACTGCAAATGTAAAATCATTGTCTGCAGTGTGCCCAAAAAGTCCTTTTATACCTGAACTAAATGTACATAACAGTGTAAGATGTATAAGATTTTAAACCCTCATCCTGATCGTTCATATGGAAACAGTGCTCCTCATATGAATTTCAACATGACTGCCTGGGGAGGAGAATAAAGATGCCCAAATTGAACATCTCCTACCCACTTCGCACTTGCATTTTGTAAATGCCTGAATAAACTGTTCCCTGGCTGCTGGATAGGATATGAGTTTCCAAATTCATCAGCACCTTACCTTTAGTCACTTTGAAATCTGGACCTAAAACACCAGACAAGGTCCTCTGGGGGGATCTTTAAATCATATGTCAGAAAGAAGCAGTATATGGACAATGATGCTCTGTGGGCAAGTGTGCTTGAATCTTTCCAGCATGTGGCACTGCAGATGCTAAAGCAGCTGAGTAGGAGGACATTCAGACACATCAGTCTGTTCAGCGATAAAGTGGTGCACATACGTTGTGGATAAAATGCAACTGTGTTACGAAAGTCGCAATGTAATAATTGTATGTGTAAAGGGACTTTCCAGCCACCTTGTACATTCAAATGTTTTGTAGATCATACTAAATTTTCTATTATTAGCGAAGAAAAATATAAATGCAGTAATTCCCAGAAAATAACCCCCCACTCCCAAAGCAAGCTTAATTTAATTATTATTTTTTTAAAGTTTTATAAAACCAGATAGTCAAGTGTCTAATGTAGTGAAATATAAATAAATTTTAAAATTTTATTAATTTTGTTTAGTTAGTGAAATAGTTGAAAATGTATGTGTATGCATGTATGTACTTTTGTATTTCATCATGCCTGATGTTAATTTCGTCCAGCTTTTCCCATTTCTTCTGGTTTTTTTTCCAGTTTCTTTTACTGTCATTACAGAAACGTAACACAGAACTGCAGTGATCCTGTATTTTGGGAGCCAAATTGTTTTGAAATTATAAATTACTATTTATCTCTGCATGAAAGGAGAGTTTATGGCATTATATTTATAATGATGGTTTTAGGAATTAAAAATGCATGAATTAAAACAAAAATGACATTATTATTACAATCTGTAGATGTTATGTTAAATCTGATGTGTTTGCTTACATTTTGAATTCAAAAATAGTTGAAAATTATGTTTTTTTTTAAAGAAAACTCTTCCACTTCTAGGTTAGAATATGGTCACAAATTTTCATATGTGATGAAAACAGATGATGATTGTGTGATTGATATTCTTAGCATATTACAAAAATTACAGAGTTCATCTGTATTTCATTCAGAAAGACCATGTCTATGGAGCAGGTATATTTAATATTTTTTTCTAATTCTTTTAGTATACAATTTTAGAAAGTGACTTTCATAAAATTAAAGCAGTAAAAAATGAAAATATTTTTGTAGTATTTTAAAACCATACATTAAAATATGTCTGGTGTATTATAAGATAGCCTTAAGACATAAATTTTAAATTAAACTTTAAAATATTAAATTATATCAGTCAAAATTGCAGAAATAATTATGTTTTATTACTATTATTAAGCTTCAGAAAAGAATGGAATGTGAATTATATTGGCAAGTGGGCAGATTACGATTATCGCTCTCCATTTTATCCAGCATTTCCTTGCGGTGCTGTCTATCTCCTTTCGCATAAAGCTGCCACTTGGATAAGCTCCAATGCAGAATATTTGTTTCCATATCAAGTAAGTGTAAAATAGTAACTTTTGAAAGAGATGAGCAGGAAAATGATACTTATTCTGATTTTCTTTAGTGTAGTATTTATTTTATTGTATTTAGAATACACAATTAACCTGCTGACTACCACATTTGCTCAATCTATTTTTCACTGCCTTCTGCCCTCCTATATTTAAACTTATCATTTGTATAACACAATACACTTTCTGGCTTTCTAACTATGAGAATTATCCATCAGAATTATTGAAGCCAAAACCTTGCAAATTTCATTCAATTAGTATTGAGTGAAAAATGAGTAATGTGAAATTGTCAGTGTAATGGTTTGTCTGTGTGACAGTACTTTACATAAAATATAAACTGAAACATCCATACTATGAAGTTTTCAGGAAAGTTATTAAGTACTCCACAAGCATCTAGTAAGATTTTTTAAAAATTAGTGGCATTAAAACAGTCCGTAACTCATCCACCAATTGTATATACATATGGCTGAAAAATTTTTTCCCTCATATTTAGCAAGCATCATTTTTCATACTAACTATATGGACTGTAATCTGACTCGCTTTTCCTTCAGAACCATTGACAGTTCTATAGTTCTACAGTGTCATCAGTACCAATCTGCTCCTCGCAGCAGCCATTTTGCAAAAAGTATGCATTTCAAGGGAAAAATAAGTTCTTTTGGACAACCAATCAAAATCAAGTCTAAGCAAAAATAGTGGTGCCATCTTGTTAAAAAAATTTCCAGTGTACTGATGAGTTACTTATCATAGCATGAAAATGCATAAGCTTTATGGTGGGAGACAAAAGGTAAAATATACATTATTGTTTCCCTTCAATTTTGCAGAATTTGAAACTTTCAAATAAACCAAAAGTAAAATTGTTTCACTTCAAAAAATATCAGTTAAGTATATTTTAACATATTTCAGCCTTTAGTTGCCTGAAAAGAGGATGTAGAAGAAGGTGAATTCTTATTTGTTTTTATATGAAACCAAAAAATAAAAATGACCAGCTATTTTGTACATTTATTGCAATATCAGTATCAAACCATCTAACAATAGCTTTATTATTTTTATACACTAACTGCATACATGACTATCTGCCTAAACTCCTTATAAAAAATATTTATAATAATTTTTAGTGAGTCTAGCTAGTGTAATTTCATAAAAGTATTTAATATTTCTAGTTAGATATCTCAGAATTTAAATGCAATTTTTTTTAATCAGCCAGATTTAAAAATAGAAAAAGTATTCTTTTTATTTCTTTTAAATCACTTAGTTTATTACTCAGACAGATTAAATTTAGCATTGCTTTAACCTTTTCCAGCATGCTACCTTTTAAAGTGGGAATTTAAACAAAAAAAAAAAAAAAAAAAAAGATACACAGTTTAGAAGAATACACAAATAAAATTTATAAAATTTTGTAAAGATAGCACTTACCGTTTTAATTCTGTGGGTATGTAATACAATAAATGCACAGTAAATATATTATAATACATTAAAAGATTTTGCCTACTATTAAAAAACACTAAATTCTGATTACCATAGCAGATTTAGCATTAACCAGGGTGCCACAGAAAGGCCTGCTACTCTATAAACACACAAAAAAAGGCTCTTTTTCTCATGGTGGTATTTTTCGAAGCAAGGGTCACCACTTTTGAAAAGCACATCCCAATACTGTGTGTTTTGCACATGTACCAGAATCCGTATCAGATTCACTATCTGAAGGCAATTTGTTTAGACTTTAATAAATACTTCAGAAATGATCATGTCTCTCTGATCCATTTGCAAAATAATTAAAAATTCAGAAAATTAAAATAATATTATATCTACAATTAAGAAAATATAAACCATAAAATAAAATTAAATAAACATCTACAACTCAAAATTATCAAAACGTACAGCTAATAAAACTTCTTTCAATGAAAGCAAAAGAGAAAGACAACTGCTGTAGTGAAAAATCGAAGAACTAACTGATAAAATTACCCCTTACTTTCAGAAAACACCCCAATGATTTCTTAGGTGATAACAAAACCTCCCCTCAGGGGGAAAAAAAAAAAAAAAAAAAAACAGGAAATGAAACAGATGTGCACTCACCTTTTTATTGTAAATGAGCTCATGGAAGAAAAATATTGCATTGAAGCAATGATACAGTTGTCTGGTTCTTTTGTTTCATTGATCCACTCGGGGCACACCAGATTTTCATCATTCAATTTTGAGGAAGATTTCAAGGGAAAAATTTAAAAACTAACATAGAATAAAGAAATCAGCATACAGCCAAGAAAATAACACAAAAATTTCTTTTCAAATAGTTCCTTTTATATTCTAAAAACAATCTGCAAGATTTCTTTGAAAAATGAGAGTCCTTAAAAACTGAACATGGCTAAAATGTATGGACTGGTTTGTGTTGTGCTGCCATTTAATATAAATAAAGAAGGTTAAAAGTAACCTATAAAGTCTTTTCCATTCAACATCCGTACAGAGGAACTTTTTTAGGTGTGCCGGAAGGGATTAAAATAGCCAAGTTTGTTAATTAAAATTGAAAGATACATTTACATTTTCTCATATGGCAACAGTCTAGCATGCTGGAGATAAAAAATTTTTATTTCGAGCAGTGCTGCTGCTTACTTTCAAATAATTAAGTTTTTTAATATAAATTAAATCCATACAAAATATGAAATAAATAAATAAATAAATAAAAATTCAGGCTTTGAGGTGCATATATTCATGTTGACGACTATGTCTTCAAAATTTCACGACTTTGGGTGCCGTCATTTTTCCGCAATCCAAAAAACATACAAACATATATACATGCATACAGATTATTCATTAGTTAATAGCAAAGATAATACAGCATGCTTATACGTACTAAAAAAATCTGATGTGGACACCACAAGACTTCCTTGTATGGCCTATTAAATTATATACATTTCTTGCTGCATTCCATGCTGCTTCAAGTCTATACCACACTTTATCTACCATATTAGCAGGAGAAGGGTGGCGGGCCAGTTTTTCGGCAACCCATGGCAGTTGGCAGGCCTCGGAGATAGGGCACAACCACTGGATGTAAGCTGTCAGAAATGTACTGATCTGCATTCAAATTACCATCATCGGAACTAGAGATGTGCATGTTGTGCACCTAGTGACTGCCCAAACCATTACAGCAGGTGCAGGGCCCCTATGCCAATATCAAATGCAAGCAGGCAACGTGTAGCCTCCTCAGAGCCTCCAGACACATATATACCAATCAGAATACTGAACAAAGAATCAAGAATCATCCGAAAAGATGATGATGTGCCACTCCTGTATCCAGCTTTGTCGTTTGGTGCTCCAGTGTTGCCATGTCTCTTTATGCTGCATTGCCAAGGAAAGCTGAAGTAATGGTCGTTGTGTTATTAGTCCAGGGACTGCAAACATCGATGCACCAAACGAGTGGATAATAGGCATGCTGCAAACATGCCCATTTCCTGAATAATGGTCCATGATGTGGTTGTATGGTTTTACAGGGCTGACCTCACAATATTTATGTTCTCTCATGCGTTAGTCATAGGAGGATGTTGAGATTTTACTGCTATTCAATATGACCCTCAGCGACCCATTGATTCCATATTCTCATGACAGTGGTTGGATGTTGACCAGTGTGACAGGTGATATCACAGAATGATAATCTACACTCTTGATAAGCAATGATCCTGCCTCTTTCGCATTCTGATACTTGCTGGTAAGCACTTATTATTATTTGAGACGTAACACGATATTATGAGCAAACTCCAAACACAGAAAGCGTTTTACAAATGAAAAATGCACTACTTTCTTTTATGCAGATCTTCAGATGTTGTTTCTACCTCCTACATTGTCTAAATGGGCTGAATTACTAATCATTTGCATAACCCGACCTCTTCTTCCTTTCATGTGATTTTGACGTTCGTCAGATCATTCCTTCCTGGTGCTGCAATTTTAATGGCCAGTAGTGTACATTAAATATTGTAAAATACAGGAAAACATAAAAACAAAATACAGTTAAAAATAGTTTAAAAAAATTGTTAACAATCAAAATTAGAGTTTCTATGCAAAAACAAGCAATTCAGCCAGAGGGCAGTAAGACAGATTTTTCAGTGCACAAAACTGAAAGTTTATTTTTGGTCCCACTTTGCAAAATGACACTTAGGTTGGTGCAGAAACTGACTTAATTCACTATTCTACTAAGAGTTTCAAATGTAAACAAATGGTGGCATCACCAGATGTAGAATAAACAACAAACAGAATACAATAGTTGAAGAATAAACAACTTTTGCATTCAGAATAACTAAAGGCATAAAAACCTTACTCAAAACATAAGACCAACATGATTCAATCACTTTTAAAGCAAAATATGCACACTTTAACAACATATAAGAATAAAAAACAGCTGACCAATCCAGGTAACATAGTGGGTTATATATGAGGGCTATCCAGAAAGTAGATTACGTTTTGGAATAAAAAAATAAACAAAGTATAGGAAACAAATTTTATTATATACAGATGAAAGCCACACTCAAATACTACTTTTCTACATAGTCACCATACAAATTAAGGCATTTATCGTAGCGATGTACGAGCTTGGAAATTCCTTCGTCGAAAAATTCGGCCGCCTGCGCCTTCAACCACTTCGTTACCTCTTCTTGCAGCTGTGCGTCGTCATCAAAACGCTGCATAGCCAGCCACTTCTTCATTGCTGGGAATAGGTGGAAGTCGCTCGGTGCCAGGTCGGGACTGTACGGCGGATGAGGAAACAACTCCCACTTAAAAGATTCAAGAACTTTACGAGTGACATTTGCCGTGTGGGGCCGGGCGTTGTCGTGAATCAACAAGATCTTAGAGCTCAACATTCCTCTGCGCTTGTTTTGAATTGCTCTTCTGAGTTTTTGGAGAGTTTGGCAATACCTTTGAGAGTTTATTGTAGTGCCTCTTTCCAGGAAGTCCACCAAAATTACACCTTTTCTGTCCCAAAAAACAGTCGCCATCATCTTCCTTGCCGACATTGTTTGCATGCATTTCTTGGGTTTTTGGGGAGAACTTGTGTGCCCCCACTGCATTGATTGCAATTTCGTTTCACAGTTCACATGTTTCACCCATGTTTCGTCACCAGTAACGATGCGATCGAGTAAAGAGTCACCATCCTTATGGTAAGCGTCCAAAAAGTTCAACGCTGCAGCCATTCGCTGATTTTTGTGGTCCTCTGTCAAGATTTTTGGAATCCATCTTGCACAAAACTTGTGGTAACCAAGCTTTTCGCTGATGATTTCGTGCAACAAACTTCGCGAAATTTGTGGAAAAACTCAAAGAAAGTTCCGTTATTGTGAAATTTCGATTTTCACGGACTTTAGCATCGACTTTTTCGAGAAGTTCGGCGGTCACTATGCTGGGTCTCCCACTTCGATCTTCGTCGTGAACATTGGTTCGGCCATTTTGAAATCTTATGACCCACTGACGCACTCCACCTTCAGTGATAATGTTGTCCCCATACACTTCACGAAGCTGCCGATAGATTTCTATCGGTTTACAGTTTTTTTGCAGTCAGAAACCTTATTACTGAGCGCACCTCGCAGCTCGCGGGATTTTCAATTAACGCAGACATTTCAAACCGTCACAGGTTCTGAACGGAGCACAGCACGAACCTCTCACTAGCACGGCTAGATGCAGACTGAGCTGCGCAACGCTCTGACCCCAAGATGGCCGCGCTAGCCCCGCCCCTAGCGGACACAGACGGAAACGTAATCTACTTCCTGGATGGCCCTCGTATATATATATATATACATACATATATACTTTTGGTGTGGCTGATTGTAACCAAAAAGGGAGGTGCACAACTACATGTTATAACTGTCCCATATACAAAATTTCAATGTTCTGAGGCTACTCATTTTTGAGTTATCAGAGATACATACACATGTATATACAGATGTCACAAAAAAGTCTCTTCTAAATCCATTTTACAATTCATTTTGGGAAAATGAGTCCTTTATGTTACAGATATCATGAGAAAACTTTGTTCAAATGGATTCAAGAGTGATCAAAATTGATATTTTCTCTGAAATATGATACCCAAAATGTTTTGCGATTACAATTTTTCCTTTACTTTGTAACTCTTTTTTTGACTAGCCTGTATTAAGGAATGTGTTAAATATTTCTACAACTGCAAGTCACCAACAGAAAACAAGATTTTTATATATAACTTTTTGATGTGCATAAAGTTATTAATTTAAAAATCTGTATTAAATCTATATAATTTTTTAGGGTGAAGATGTGTCAATGGGTATTTGGCTGTCTGCCATCAATGCTGATTTTATTCAGGTAAAAATATAATATTTCAATAAAATTGAAAGAATTGACAATCGATTTTATAGACTTAATTTACTTTTACAGAAGGTAATTACTGGTAATTCGTGAATGTCTAAGGATTTTTATAATCTTGGAAATAAAAATGTTCTGTTTTTGTTCATAAAAATTAAATATGTGATAATTATATTTCAGGATGACAATTTTAAATGTGATTTAGAATGCAATTCTGAGAGTTACAATAGAGCACAGCTAACACTGGATCAAATATATGAAGTCTGGCATCTCTTTGAAAAATGTCAAAATTTATGCACTTGTAAATAATCAGAGTTTAATTTTCATGTACTGTATGTTAGTTACTTTTTTAAATATTCCAGAGTTCTATTTAAAATCAGTTCCATAAGTATATTTTCATAGCTACTTACTGTATGTCTATACTTCTATAGTGAAAAAATTCATTATTTCAAATTTAAAGCATTTTTTCTCATTTTGAAACTGATTTTAGATGTATGTTTGCATTTCAGAATCTGGGCTTTGATTCTGTCAAATTTATTCATAAAAGTTTTAATATTTTTCTGAATAATTTTTTGAATGTGTATCAGTTTCCGTAATACACATTCCGTAAGTAAATAACATTTACTTCAGAAATGAAATTGCAGTAATCTAAAAATAATAATAATATGATTCTTTTGTTATGAACTACATTGAAATTTCCTTAACTTGGAGCTTTTACAGATGGTTTGTTTGCTTTCCAAATGAATGGCCTTCTTATGTTCATTTTCTTTTAGGGTTGCTGTATACTTTGTGATTTTATAAAGGAATATTGTATTTTTAGAATTCACATCCATATACGGGGTGTAACAGAATTCACGGTTACAACTTTAAGAGGTGGTAAAAGTAACAATTTCTGTAATGCAGTGCAAGAGAGAACGTGAAATGAATGCGTTGAAATACAGTGACAAACATGGAGAACAAAAAGTATTTTAATAAGAAATTTCTACTAGAAATTGTATTTAATACTATTCTACTTTATTTAGTAGATTTAATACAATTATTATTATTACTTTATTTAATAGTAATTTAATACAATTTACAACTATGTATTTAAAAGTTGGATGATTCGCTCAAGAACTGATTTAAAGAAACAATTCACTTTACTGAGTGAATGAACAGTGATTCCACAAAATGAAGTAGCTCTTTTACAGTTCATGGAAAGTTCTTTGTGGAAATGTGCCAGGGAAGTTTGATTCCTCCTATGTAAACAGTAGCATTTTTCTTTACTGTTTGCTAGATAGGTCTGACTCATGTGTGTGCGAGTGTATGTATTAGAGATGTGCTGTTCATTGATGAACCGAATCAAAGAACCAGTTTACAGTGAGTGAACAAATGCCTGATTAGTGAAAAAAAAAAAAAAAACTGCAGCTGTTTTAAAGTTTACTAACCAAGAATTCTTACTGTAAGTGATGCAGGAAGGCTCAATTCCCATTTTAGGGAAGAAAATAATGTTTATCCTCCTATGATTATGTGTTTTAATTTTTATCATTCCCCAACATTTTAAAAATCTTTTTATTCTGAAATTTTATTGTTAGTTTTAGGAAAATACTAAACTGAAAGATATCAATTCAGGAAGTTAGCATTTGATTGAATCTAGTCTATTCTTCCAATACCACTGCTCATTCAATTCTTTCCACTCTTCACTCCATTCTCGTTTCCCATCTTTATCATTAAGGTTATTAATGGAGTCATAAAAAAACTGATTTACTTCAGTGAGCTAACAGTTCTGATCCAATCTAATAGAAGACAGGCTTTATCTGTCTCTAATCTAATGCCCTCAAAAGATTCAATCTGAATCTCCTCATTTGTTTTTTATGTTCTTCATATTTATTCTGTTTCGGCATTCTCATTTCATATTTCATTACACATTGTTTTATGAAATTTATTATTTGCAATTTTGTATCACCCAAGTAGAGACTAAAAATTCCATTACCCCTGTATGTGGAAGACTTAAAGGTAGTTCATTATTATAACATGGCCTTGCTGCGATTTCAGTAGATTTTCTGGATTTTCAGGCCCACTTTTATGGAAACACTTATTGGTACTACGGCTTTGCCCTATTCTTTTGTAAAATGTACACTGCAGAAGCGGACAGTTCTATATCTCCCATTCTACAGGGCCGATTAATGAAATTCAAATTGCGTTTTTCATTTGTCATAAGCACGACTTAGAATATATATTGCATTTATATATAGCATTGTTCCAACATAGATATTTTGACACAAAATGGGACTTTTTCAGAAATAACGTACCAATTTTTTTCCATATTTCGATTTTACGATTCAAATTATGCCTAAATATTAAATTTTGAATTAAATTAATCAAATTGATTAAAAATTAAACACCAAGATAAATTTACAAATTTACCTTAGTGTCTTTTTCTCAGTTTGTGCCAAGAATAATTAATTTGGCGAATTTCTTAATATATGGCAACCTATTTTCCTTTCCCTTCTATTGTGCAGGACCAGAAAAAAAGGCCACATCATTCTCCTTTCAAATAATTTTAACAAAGTGCCTAAACCACTTCAACAAATATGCCAAATTTGAAAACGCACTGATATATAAATTCATGTATATCTTCAGAAGTTTTGAATAAAACATTTTAATTTTTTGCAGGTATGCTTAGAACTACAGCTACTTTAAGATGGTAAAAATTTTATAATTATAATTCAAAATTATTTCAAAAAATTTATAAAAGTTATTTAAAAATACGATATTTTAAAAATAAATCATAAAAAATCAGTGAATTTTATTTGGAATGAACCTACATTTCGAAATGTGAAAGAAAGAATCAAAAAAGTTTAATAAAAAAGTGATATTAATAAATATATATATATACCAAATTCAACACTGAGGAGCTAAAATTTTGAGAGATAATTTTTTAAAAACTACTCTTGCGATTTTTACAAAACTTGGCAGTTTGGCGTAGTTTGAGTGGTAGAATTGAAACAGAGGAAAAAATTGACATGTCATTTCAGAAAAAGTCCGATTTTGTATCAAAATGCCTATATTAGAACAATGCTATATATAAATCTAATACATATCCTAACTATTTAGGATATGTATTAGATTTTCATAATACATGAAAAATGTGCTTTCAAGACATGAAAATTGCAAGTTGAATTTCGTCAATCAGCCCATTACAATGAGAGATATAGAACTGCCCCTCTTTTTTTGCGCGTGTACATACTCTTAAATTATACTTGATTTGAAGCTCTGAAAGCACAATACCTGAAAGGAAAGTAAAACTTTGCCTGGAAGAAATAATAAATACAGTAGAGTCCCGCAAACTTCAGTTCTTGATATCTCCCTATTTCGTATAAACTGGATGATAATTTTTTCTCTTTTTAATCCCTAATTGATTTTAGCCAGTCATGCAAAACATTATCTTTGAAATAATGGGGTGGTCTATTATTAGCAGAACTGTAATAAATTCTAACATGACCTATATAGTACAGGTACATTTTAAGTACTATATTATTATAATTACAGTTTTAATGTCCTCATTGTTTCCTGTTCTGTTCAAAGATTTATTATGGTATACTATTTTGGCAACATTTGTCCCTTTCCTTTGTAACACTAATTCTTGAAACTGTAATGAATTTAGAGACAGGTTTTGCTTTTTCCAGAAAAATTTCAATCTGTCCCATTTTTCTAGCTGAACCCATAATAAAGATTTTTTCTTCAAAGAACTACTTGTCATTTCTTCAGCTTTGTATGCAAGATTTTTTTTTTCTTAATGATTAACAATTTTTTCAGGATATGTTGTATTTTCTTATCCTGTATTGTGGTAAAATTTTCATTACGGTAATATGCATAATATATGTGTTGTGAATACTTTCAATGAAACTCAACATTTTCAGTAATTCGTCACTTTCTCGATCCATGTTAGGTCGAATTTATGGGACTTTTTTCAAATGTTATGGAATGAGGTGACAGACTTAGGGGCCCAAGCAAACATTTACGTGGAAGGTATACTTGGGAGAGGAGGATTGGATTTTTTGTTCACATTTTGATAAATTTTAGCATATTTTGCTTTTTTGTTAACTTTCATGATTTTAGAAAGGTAAAATTTTAATTTTAAGGGGAGGAGATTTATATATTATGTGAATGTTCTAAAAATACCATACTAACTCAAAAGAGCAAATAATTTAAATTTTTATAAGTCATTTAAATATGAATATTTACATACACATGTATTTCTTCCATCGATGTTTTACAGTCCAAGTATACAATTTATTTAAAAAAATTTTCTTTTTACACTTCCATTCAAGCTGATGATTGTTTGTAATTTTTAGTATCTAAGAGTTTCTTTCCACACATAGCACAAATTCCTGAAATGTAAAAATAGATAAAATAATTAAAAATATAGGACCAGTTTTAATATTAAAAATTATATTTCATATTAAATATTATTAAAAGTACACTGGCTTCCAAAAGTTAAAACATGCAGTGCAAATTACCAATTTTCAAAAGCGAAGATGAATTTGATTGGCTAAAAGTTGCTGCAAGTGCTGATGGTAAAATGAAAAATATATATTACATCATGACACAAATCATGACTCACTGTCTGAACATATGCTAATTATGCAGTTGTTGAAGATGCATTCTGAAAGATTTAAGGTGGTTCATTTAAATGCTGATGCAAAATGTTTATAATTTTTGAAGGATAATTTTTTATGATATTCATGTATCTATTGGCTGGAGTGTAGACAATTTGAGGCAAAGATGTCAAACAAATATGATACTTTTCTTTGACAATAAAAGACAAGACCATTAAAGATGTTCGAGATGGTCATCAAAGATGGTCAGATGTCACTTTTTTCTTTGATGCTCATAATTCAGTATTTACCATTACTGCTGATTTTACCACCCTTGCTTAACTTTTGGAAGCCAGCATTCTTATTTCTAGCACTTAAATATTGGGTCATACAGAAAGTTCAGTGGAAGTATAAGAATCTAAGAAAATTTCTCTGCATCGCATAAGCACTGTTTTGTTCTATGACTACCTTCTCTCCAGCTGCTAAAAATGCCTTTAAAATTTAAAAGAAGTCATTCGGTTTATCTGTAAAAAAGGTACTAAAGCACTGTTTAATAGTCTCCAAAGGAGTGGACTCGAGGCCATTTCAGACAATTCTGAAGACATGAAAATCCAAGGGGGCTAGCCTAGTTAGTCAGTATGAAAGATGACAAAAACATTCCAGCCATACTCAAATAAGTCTTTGTCCGACACCGAAATACGAAGCCTAGCATTGTCATGATAGAAGACGTTACCTTGATGACTTCTGAGCACTTCTGAGCACTTTTCTTTGATTTCTGCTCTTAATATTGCATTTAGAGATGGTGTTTTTTCAAACTTTATTGATTTGGTGGCAACAGTTCTTTATTCTCATTATACACAAAGCATTACTTTTTTGGGGGATGTACCCTCCCTTTCAAAGTTACTAAGATTCTTTTAGCTTGCCAAAACTGAGCAAGCACATTCTGCTGTGCTAAAGTATGAGGTGCTCATATAGTGCAACAGTTTGCAAACCCAATGATTTATTGTTCTCAAATGATCATATACTGTACTTTTTCGAATATTTAGTGTATGAGAGTTCTGAACTGTCCAATATGTATTAGGTTCTTTTAACCATTTGCCTAGTTATTCCTAGTTAATTCAGATGTTGAAAATGTGTCGAAAATAATTATCCTGAGTTAGCACACAATTCCTGATTCATTACAGACTATTTTTATTTATTCCGAATAAACTTGTGTTTTGTGTCTATGCTGGTGATCTTGAAGATGTTTTGTTATGAGAATATGAGAGTTTTATGCCATAATTCTTTCAAATCAGCATCTATCCATCCACATTTGAGGCTATTTTTATCTCTATCAAGTGTGTTATGTAAATAATTCAGCCCATTTTGCAATTTGGTGGGAATTAGAGCTTGTAAATTCATTCTTTTATGATTTTCTCTAAAAATTTTATAGAAACACGTTATTTTTGCTTAGATTGTAATATGCCTTTATGTGTCGTGCTATGCTTCAAGGTCTGTTTATAATTTGAACTAAACTTTTTGTGTATTTGTAATACTTTATTTTTAAAAATTATTTTTTGATTTTTTGTGCTCATTCCGAATTAACAAAAACACATAATGAGTTTTCTAGATAATTATTTACCATTCATTTTGTGTTACAAAAATACACAAATTCTGAGAAAATATTTATAGAATCTTTTTTGTCTTTTTGAACTAATTAAAAGTACACAGTACAACAAAATGGGTAATTTTTGATTGGAAACTGAAAAATAAAAGGTTAGTTAAGAAGTTAGCAGGTCGTTGTTTACAAAGGGCATCCAGAGTAGACATTATCTTCCAGAGTATCAGAGGCTAATATTTCCTCACTTAAACACTTCTCAAAATGCCTTTGAACAGAAACATTTTGTCCATATACAGCTCAAATTTTACAAGCAGTCGAACTAGCATATTTTCCTTTTTTAAAGTAAAAGAGCATAACATAAAAAAAAAAAAAAAAAATTAATTTTGTGTTCTTTTTAAAACAAAAATTATGCCATAATATATGCTAGAAATATGTAAGTGTTGGCAGAAAAGACCATATTTAAACATCTGCTTCAATCAGGGTCACTCTTTATCAGCACTAACAAAATAATTAGAAGAAAATGGGCTTATATTTGGTAGTATTTTTTAGAAGACCCAATATTTTACTAAAAACTTCCTTAAATACCAAATAAGAAAAAATAAACTGTAACTTTTTTATTTTAACTATGCTGTATATTTTAATTTGTAAAAAACAAACAAAAAAAAAAGTTAACTATGCTGTATTTTAAATTTAACTAAATCTGTTATATGTACCAGTTGCATAAATTTTAGAAACCTTTAATAAAATTGTTACTAAATTTGTGTTTTATCTCATTATTTTTAAAGATACAGCAGTTTATCGCAATCAATTATCATCCCTACATAAAAAATTTCTGTCTTATGTAAGGAGTGCAAATTTATAAATGTGTTTTGAGAACCAAGCTATGCCATAAAATAGATCTAATGTGATGTTAGCATGAGTAAGCTCAAATCTTTTGTTACACCAGAACTTGTAAAACATGTTATTATACTTGAAAATTAAATCTCTTGGAATGTAAGATGGAATCCTTACATCTTAATTTTAAGAAATAAATTGTTGGAGAATATTTCTCAAGAGCACTGTTCTGACTGGAATGAAGTTAGACTACTTAACTATGTACAATATTTAGTAATGATGTAGTATGTGATCTATTGCATTTAGTTATTTATTACTAAAGTAAATACAAATTCAGAATACATTAATGAAATTGATTCCATTAATTTAATAACCTATTAAATTTTTAATTTCATTCAATTTAAATTCCTTCTAATTTTACAAAACAAAAGCAGATGCCTCTCTTAAAAGGGATTGTATCAACCTGAATATGCAATAAAATGGCTTGGGAGGGATTATTAAAACAACTACCAATTTTAGTGGCACCATCTAAAAATAAGTAAATAACTAAAAGTAGTAGATTGTATCTACATTATTTTTCATATTCTACTATGGTAAAAAAGAAAAGTTAGTGATATATTATTACCTTTTTGTTTTCAAGCATAGCGTGGATGCAGACCTATATCAAAATCACTCAGCTAGGCTAAACATGGCTAATCGTAATTAGCAATAGTTACACAGTTTATATATGTAGTAATTACCAACTGGGTTTACTTAATATTTAAAACAATGTAGCATCCTCTTTGTTTCCTCTTCATCTTATCTTTATTTTCTGAATGTTTTAAGCTTCATAAAATGGCATCACAAAAAGACTGTTTGAAAGAAAAACATTCACTGGAATTTCTTTTTAAAAAGGTCACTTGATATTTGTTTCAATCCTGTTTTATTACTAATAAAACTGTTTAAAGAAGTCCATTCTTTAATAGTGTATTAATAATACTTTATATTTTATGCAATGCACTTCAAAAAGTTAATTACTCTATGAAATGTGAAATTTATCTCATTTCACAATTTCATTTACTAAAATATCCATTTACAAAACTCTAACAAATTTTAGAACAAAAATATAGCAAAACAGAAGCAGCCTTATTTTTGAATAAATACAGTAAATATTATCAGTAAGTTGTTTAATATTTTTAACTACCAGTTTCTTAGAGTAGCCTGTGTAACATAGAGTAGCAAGCAAAAAAAAAAAAAAGAGTTGACTGATTAAAGTGCGAACTAATAATTTGATAAGCATAACTTCATAAATGCTTGTGGAAATATAACCAAAGCATGAATTTCTAGAATGCAAAATTTCAGTTGACTCGTAAAGGTAGGTCAAGCTCTATAACAGTATGCTGTGATAAAAGAATTAAGAAACTGTATGTGTTTTAGTGGCAAAAGCATATGTGCTAATCTCAAAATATGAAAAATGAAAGTTTTCCCACTGTGCAATGAAGCTATTTAGATAGAACACCAAACTGACTAAATTTACATTATAATATGATTTAGTTTATTGAATATTTATATTATTATTCTTTTAAATTTAAATTTAAACAAATTTAAATTCTTAACAAATACGTATAAAAGTAAAAAAGAAAATTTAAATTCTAAAAAAAAAAAAAAACAAAATAATTTTAAATAATTTTAAAAAATTCAAACATGTAAAAGATTTAATTCTCAAACTAATCTACAATATCAATTATTCTGATGTAAAATACACTAGTATTTAATTAAATATTCTAAATTTTATGTTCTAATTTTATTTTGTAATTTTCTAATACTTTTAAACTGGGAAAATCTTGAGTAAAGAAGGAAAGATTTTATTTTTCAAATATAATGAAAATAAAATGATAAAGTACATACTATTGTGAGGATAAACTTAGCAAGGTACCATATGTTAAAGTAAAACAAATTAAATACAGCTATTAACTGATTAAAGATTGGTTAAGTTTTCATATAAGGTTCTATAAATATCTAGTGCACATTGAAATAATTCAGATCACACAACATTTCATACGAAAAATCATGCTGAAAATCAGGAGAGGTGGGGGAATGGAATTTGCAAGTTTTAAAATTAATTAATTGAATACATTTTATCTACTGCTAAGAAATAGTTTCCTTAGTTAGGTCCTTTCCTGAGTTAGTTTCCTTACTAAAAATTAAACCCATGACATTTGGTGATCCACCAGGAGATAAGATGAAAAGTTGTAAGAGTGGGCAACTACTCAAGCTGAAGTAAAAAATTATTTAAATGGTGTGAATGTAATTGTTAAGACACTTTCACACAGACATAACATTTATAGATTAAATATGATAATTCCACCAGAAAAGCTAC